GGTGAGGTGCGGTCAAGTTTATAAGATACAGTGCTTTGTAGTGTGTTGTGGTTTACATGGTGTGGTGTGGGCTCATGGTGTGGTGTGGTGAGGTGAGGTGCGGTCAAGTTTATGCAGTGCTTTGTAGTGTGCTGTGGTTTACATGGTGTGGTGCGGGCTCATGGTGTGGTGTGGTGAGGTGCGGTCAAGTTTATAAGATACAGTACTTTGTGGTGTGTTGTGGTTTACATGGTGTGGTGTGGGCCCGGTCTACTGGGAAGAGTAGTATCTATCACAACACTCTTACTCTGCTTCCAGTGGTCTTGGGTTGACCAGGTGATAAACCTTTCCAATAGTCATAGAAAGCTCCTACAAAAATAGAATAAAAATATCATTAGAAAATTCCTGTAGCACCCGAGTAATCTCACTGCTAGTTACCTGTGTCATCTTGACGATCATTTCGCTAACGAAATCAACCGGAGTCATTTCCAGTCCCCACTCTACTTGAGGAGCGGAGAGGGTCTCGGCACAACCTTGGAGCATCAGCAGAGTAAAGTCCAGTGGATTCCAATATCCGTTCTTCCGGTCACCTGACAAATTACCTGTAAGTCAAAGATGACGTTAATGTACTTTTATCCCAATTCAGACCACATGTCAATTCCTTGAGTACTATTTCTTTCTCTAGCGTGGATACTATCAGAATACTATTTCTATTAAAAAATCTTTTACATGGAGTAATTATGCCCCAAGGCAAAAGAATGTTTAGATAACAAATATAACATCACGTCATGTGACCTGTTAAGAATGACGTCATACCTAGTCTGTAAATGACCATGGGTAAGCCTCGTTCGCGCGCTCTGATAACAAGCTGCTCAGCAACCCATTTTGATTGGGAATAGCCATCATCCAAAAGGTGAGCGTACTGAAGCATGTCAGCATCTTCGGAACATTTAGTCAAACCATGAGGAAACACTGCATCGGTACTGAAAATAAGGACATTATTTTCAAGGTTGGATTTTCTTGAAGCGCAAGATACGGTTTTTTCCTTGATACCTTCAAATCTACATTAACGTCATTGCGCGCTAGATTTCAGAGTAGGTTTCTCATAGCGCGTCATGGTCTTTAGCGATTGACTTATGTAAACACGCATTTGTTTGTAGCAGATTGGAGGAAACATCAGACGACCATTCTGCCACAGAGTATCACTCTGCCATGCTACAGGTGAGTGTACTACCGCTAACGTCACCCTTGATATCCATACTTTACTTAGGGGGTGGGGGGGGGGCGCACGGGTTTTTTAAAGATATTTCCCTTAATTTTTACTTAGAAAATCAAAGACGCAACGTTCTTGAAAAACCTCGTGTTTCTTACTCAAGCGAAGCTCAATTGTATTAGCTCAATTATAAACGATATTGATGAAGGTACCTTATGTAGTGAAGGGGCTTTATCTTGCTGGTGCTTGCGAAGAGGATTATGTTCTGTGTACCAGTAACATTATGTCCCCGAAGAGCCTAGAAAATCCATAATAAGGAACACAAGATAAAGTGGCATTTTAAAAGAATCGGTGCAGATAACATACCAATTACTAACCGTGTAGGGGTAAACCATGTTGACACTTGCTGCAGCATGGATGATAAAGTCGATCTAAAGCAATTAACAAAAGAAATAAGAGCAATTAAAAAACTCTAAGTCTAAAACTTTTCTATCAAGCTCTAAATTTTCAAAGTACTTTAAAAATCATACAATGAAATAAAATAAGATTGTCTGATTACCTCTGACGATAAGAATATAAAATCTTCTTCGCTCATACCAAGATTTATCAAGGAAATGTCGCCTGTGGAAATAAAATAATATAATAAACCTACTGCATTCTACGGTAAAATAATGTAAGAAATTTTAAAAGTTTCAAAGCACAACGCAAACCTTTGACTGCGGTAACCCTGTGTTCAAATCCATACTCCAAATACTTCTCTTCTTCATTCAGAGTGTGGCCATCGTTATTCTTTGGTAGGATGGAGTAACGTTCTAAACTTGCTCTGATTCGATCTTTACAGGTTTTGTCTGGTGCCTCACGAACTACACAAAATACGTGGACCTAAAAAATAAATAAAGAATAAGAAGAAAATTATTAAAGAAACATTGCATGGGAAAATTAGAAATAGCCTTGTAGCAAATGAAAATTAAATATCTAAAGTTTTCATTTCCCGCCTTTTTTTTGACGCGCCCACCATTATCTGTAACATATTTGAGAGATGGAGACGCGTGTACCCTTTTCCCGCCAAATTATCTGAATGCGCGCGCGCCTTTTTCCCGCCCTTTTTTGACGCGTGTACCATTTTCCTGTAACATTTGAGCCGTGTCGACGCGTCTGCAATTTTCCCGCCAACATGCCAAGCATGCGCAGTTTACCATTGTTTGTCATATATGGCTCATTACCTTGGTATGTTTTAACAAATCTCTCAACAGATAAGCACCAAGAAAACCAGTAGATCCTGTCAGTAAAACGCGACCACGGTTCCATCGTCGAGTATTCCTGAAGTTCCCTGACCTCCAAAACGCACGTAGGATCATATCCATGCTGAAAGTGGTTCGAGAATATTTCATGATTCGCTTGCATTCGTCCATGCATTCAACTCACTGCTAATGACCGACGTACTTACTTGACGAATCCTTGGTTGTGATGTTCAACTTCTCCCTTCAGATCGATGTAAGTTTCCATGGAAGCGCTTCTAAATTACAAGGGACAAAAAAAATACTGATTCAGAATCCATGACGTGTAGCCTTCATTTAGCAATAGAGGTCCTTACGGTAGAAATTCTTTTTCTTATTGCAATTGTATTTTCTAACGATATGCCATGGATTAAATATTAGCATCATTGTTGGGTTAGGGCGTTGCCAATTCGCGCTAAATAATCCCCTGGGTGTTGGACTGTGGATAAAGATGCCCTTCTTCGCTCCATCTATTTGTCCTTCAAATATCACTAAAATAAGGACAGGCGACAGGCATGCGTACCTGTATTTTTGAGCACCATTATGGAGTTTATCATCAATGATGTTGGCCATGTCAGCAACAGTCGGAAAGAGAAACAAGTCTTTGACAGCCAGCTCGATGGAGAATTCCTCAAGTATCTTGGATAACAGACGCGCAGCTAAAAGTGAATGACTGAAAATGAAAAATAGTAATGAGAGTCATTTATGCGACAAGAATAAAAGGAAATGAAATGTTTTCATTCGACTTCCCAGAAAAAGAAACGACACAAAAAGTATAAATAATTTTTTTTTTTTWAATTTCAGTAAGAAACATTCCTCGGTCACATACATGCCTAGCTTTAATAATTCTTCCAACTTTTTTATTGGTTTTCAAAGCTCACTCACTAAACTTTTATCTATACCTTTAAGACCGATGAACATGGTATGAGATTCCCCTCATGACTGTCGCGCGCAACAAGCTACAACACGAATTGCTTCGTGTGAATCGACCGAACAACTAATTTGGCGTAAACAGATTTGCACCACTTAAAGGAGATACAAACTCACCCTCCCAAGTCGAAGAAGCTTTCATGTATATCTACTGTTYTGACGGATAAAATTTCACACCATATCTTAGCGAGTTTTTTCTCCGTCTCTGTCGTTGGTGTTCCCTCTTCGTCGGCATCGTCTAAGTCTAGAGGGGGAAGACTTTTCTTGTCGAGTTTTCCCGACGCCGCTACAGGGATGCTAGAGTGGAAGGGTAGAAGCGAGGTTAAGAGTGATTATTTGAAGGGGCTTAAGAAAATATACAATCAAGGTAATTATAATGAAATGAAATGGCGATATCAAATGTACAAAAAGATAGAAAAATGAAAAAAGCAAGAATGATAATAATAAAAAATAAGAAGTATACGTTTAGACTAATTCACCTCTGTAAAAGAACGAAATGTGCTGGTATCATGTAAAATGGAAGTCTGGTTTTCAAAGCCGCTCGCACTTCTTTCTTGGTAACCTTAAAATAAACGAACAGAGAGAGGAATAAATGGCTAGTTTGGTTGACTGAATAAAGTGTCCTCCAGATCAAAGACACATAAAAGAGACAGACAACATATAGATAACAGACTTAATGTTTTCCCAATTCAGACCACATGTCATTCTCTTGAAAATAACTGATATTCTTTGTTTGAGTGTATCCATCACGTGCCGGCGTTATAATCCAGCTTGGACTACCTGTGGTTAGATGGTGGAACGAAATTAAAATCCCAGTGCTCTCGGGAATTGAATTCTTTCTCATGTAAAACGATTGTATTGTTCCTCTCATCTAACAAAGCTGCCGTCACGTGATGGTGCAAAGCCTCTATATCCATGTTTTTTCTCATTCGCAACCACTTAACACAGAAATAACACTCTAGAGAATGATACGTGGTCTAAAAACAGAAGCAGAAAACCAGTAGAACCAATTATATTATAATAACAATATATAATAATGATAATAATTATGTATGTAGACGTGTTTTACCTTTCCTTCTGGTACCACATATGCCACTAGATATTTGTCGGTACCTTCTTCACCTATGACTAGTACTACGCATGCGTTAACCATCGGCAGTGATAAGAGAGCTGCTTCTACTGCCTGAAAAAAATTGGTGGAAATCAAGTATCTACAGTTTTTCTTTGTCTTTGTTTTCTTCCTTTTTCTTTTAAAGATAAATATGATTATCATCACCATCATCATCAGGTATTATCATCATCACTATCATCACTAGCTATGTATACCTGCCACCACCACCACAACCACTGGGGCCAACACCATCATCATTCATCATTTCCATCATCACCATGTATATTCATCACCACCATCATGTACCATCCTCATCGTCATCACAATATGTATTACCACCACCATCATCATCCCYATATATCATACTGTCACATCATCCTCATCATGCATAATCGCCATCATCAACATCATTCATCATTGTCATCATCAATTTCATCCTCGACTTTTACCTGGATTTCGATACTGTATCCCCTGATCTTCACCATAGAATCACATCGACCACAAATCTCTAAGTAACCACTAGAAAGCATGTATCCCCAGTCACCAGTCTTGTACAGTCGGTCACCCACAGAGGCCGGGACTGCAGCAGGTCGATCGATGAAGCGTTCTTTATTTAGCTTAGGTCTGTTCAGGTATCCACGAGCTAGTGTTGGACCTCCTACATAAATCTGTTTAGGAATAGGTAAGAAAAATATTAGAAAGAAAGGATTAGCATAAAAGGGAGGGAGGGAGGAAGAGAGGGAAGGAGAGATAAGAACGACACTTCTCATGCAAATATAACTGTAAAAGCTAGGTATATGCTACGAAACTAAATAGACCATTTGAAATTGTTGYGCACTTGCAAGACAAAGCCTAGATAGCAAAATTCTTAACAGCATTTATAAATTAGGAAAGTTCAAACCTCTCCAGGGACTCCAACAGGCAACGGCTGCATATTGTCATCCATAATCACCACTTGTATGTCTGGTAGCAGTTTACCCACATGGCAGAACTTACGCTTGTTCTCGTCTTTTTCTGGTAGCTTAATAAACAAGCAAAAAAGCAAAAGAATAAATAAGGAAACAAACAAACAAATATTAAATTAGAGAAGCACATGTAGTGTGGGCTGCTCTCATCTCTGTGTTTGTAGGTTCATTCTCAAACCGACCAAGTATAATATTGTTGATGCACACTAGCTTTATAAACTGCACATGCTGAAAACCAAATTATTTACCTACAAAATTATATGTATTAATTCAGTTTTTACCTCATCTTGAAAGGGAATGTTTGTCAGATCTGAAGTAGCAACATCATGGCACTCAGAAATACTGTACAGGTTCAGAAGGCGTATTGATGGCAACATCCTCATGGCACGGTTACGGAGAGCTGTTGTCACAACCTCACCGCACAACCATACTTCTCTAAGCATTGACAGGTAGGTTTTCACATCTAACTCTTCATAGTCTAGGATGGCCTCTGTTGAAAAAAATGAGATTCACAGGCTTTAAAATATTCATACATAGAAAATAAGCAACACAGCTGCATGCAGCTGGAAGGAAGGAAGGAAAGAAGGAAGGAAGAAAGGAAGGAAGAAAGGAAGGA